CCTCAAGAAACAACACAAACAACACCACCACCACCAACAACAGCATCAGCAGCATCTTCTTCATCAGCATCATCAACTCCATCTACATCTCCAGTGATAACTGGTACACCTGCACCAAAACCATCTGGTTTTAAAACTTCACCAATATTAAAACCAGTTGGTTCATCGATAGAAAATACCACAACAACTTCAACAACACCATCTTCTTTAGGATTACAACAAGCATCAATTTCACAACCAACCACACCTGGATTAAAACCAGCAAATAGAGTTTTCGTTAAACAACCAGCAGGGTCAACATCTGCTCCAACAACCCCATCGTTCAAAGGTGCAACACCAATTAGAAAATCTCCATCGTCAAATGAAAATTTAGCGGCAGTTGCAGCAGGTACCTCTTCTACCACTACTACTGTTTCAAACCCAATTAGAAAGTCTCCATCTACTAGTGAAAATTTATCAACACCAACCACTACACCACCAACTATTTCACCAACTAATCCACAACTTTTAGTTTATGTTTTACCACCAATAGCTCCAAAAGATGAATTATCAGAAACATCGTCATCTACAACAACAAGACCAAAAACAACTGTAATTACCAATAAACAAACTGCATCAACACCAACAATAACTAAACCGGCAACAATTACAAATGAAATTAATGAAATATTATCAAATGAAATATCAAAGAAATCAAGTAAAAAGATAAAAGAAGATATGAAATCAAAAGAATATGTTAGAGTATTGTCGAATAGAAAAGGTGATTTCTCATCGTTATCGGTTGTGCGTGGTGATGTATTGGAGATTAAAGAAAAAGGTGAAAAGGATACATATTTAGGATGTAATGGATATAAAACGGCGTCGTTCTCTTTATCGAATACAAAAAATCTATATCCAAAAGAGAATGAACCACCATTTGATTCACAAAAAGTTGTTGCCATTAAAGATATTAGAACAAATAATAATTATACAGTTATTAGAGGAGATGTATTATGCATATTGGAAACCAAACAATCAGGTAACACCACCACCTATTTGGGTAGAGTTAAAGTTGGTTTAGATGGTTGGGGTGAAAAATTGGAATTTCCATCAGATTCCGTTAGAAATATCTCTGAAAGGGAATATATTCTTTTCGGTAACCTATTGGATGTTGTCATTGAAGTTTCTGAACAATTAATGGATCCAGAATTATTTGCAAATCAATCATCACCTCGTTCAAATAGTACTACAAGCTCATTGAAAATATCGGAGAAACAAATTGAAAAGAATCAATTGGTACTTAGAGATAGAGTTAAATCATTACAAACTGTACGTGAACAACTATTAAATAGTGGTACACCAAACCCAGAGTTAGAGGTCACACTTTTTAAAGAAATTGAAATTACAAGAGCTTTCCTTTCAAATGAATTCTACATTATCAATGATAATGGTAATATTTTAACATCAGAAAATGAATCACCAATGAAACTATTAAAATATCATTATCAAATGAATGAAAAGAAAAACACAAAAGAATCAACCAATCCATCATCATCATCTTCGTCATCATCATCACCATCATCTTCGTCATCATCATTATCATTATCATCATCTGGATCATTTTTACAATTGGGATCATCATCACAATCAAATACATCATCAAAATCATTTTTACAATTAGCAACATCACAACCAAATAATTCATCGTCATCATCATTATTAAATTTAAATGATCGTGGTATTGATAATAGCAATGGTAATGGAATAAAGAAACAATGGGAGTATGGTCAAATAATATGTGATATTAAATTTAATAAATGTTCATTACCACCAAAAAAGAATTTCGAATTCTATTTTTCATTGTACAATTTCTCACAATCACGTTATATAACGGAACAAGTTCAAGTAGAATGGGATTCTGTATTACCATCGACATCTGCTCCATCGACATCATCAATTGTATCATTTAAATGTATTTTTAAGAATATTGAACCATCTGATATCACCGAAGATATCTGTTTCCTTTGTAAGGTGGTTCGTAAGGGACCCTTTAAAGATTTGGATGAATCAACCCTAAAAAAAGGTACAAACATTGACTTTAGAAGACCATATGCATTCGGTTGTATCTCTATACCAAATTTGGTGGTCGAAAATCAAACCGCTTTAGAAAGACAAGGTGTATTCCAATTTTATTCGACCTCATCAACCGATTTATCAATCTCTCAAATTCCAGACTTTTTAATGAAAAACTCTGATGAAGAAATTAGAAAACACTTGGAAATGGTTCCCAAGGTAACAAGTGGCTTACCTCAATCGATTTTACCAGTCTCATTAAGTTTCTACGATATTGGATTCGATGTATTCTCAAATAAATTCCCACAATTCCAAAAGATTGTAAAAGTTGAAAAATTAGAACATAAAATTGTATTTGCCGAAAAAATTCATAAATTCTATTTGACTTTGGATAGTGGTAAATTTAGTCAGGGTAAAAAAATGGAAGTTATCATTAGAGTTAGATTGGATGATGGTGAATACCTTCAAAATTGTATGTCTTTGGGTGATAGTGCCAATGGTACGTTTGTTAGTGAAATTCGTTCATCAACTTGTCCACTCAATAGTAATGGTACAACCACTTGGAATGAATCAATTCATTTCAATATTTCTGAAGTTCATTTCCCAAGAGCTCACGTTTTATTCTTTGTCAAAAATCGTTCAAACTCTTCAAGCAAAGAAAAGAACTCATTGGTTGGTTTTAGTTTTTTAAAATTGGGTAATGATAATTCTACAGTAATTTCAAATGGTGATCATTCAATTTCACTCTATAAATTAAACTCTATGGACAATTTACCAATTCAATCATACATTGATTTAAATAGCCAAATTGGTGGTAATATTGAAGGTGGTGATTCATCACCATCTAGTTCATCAAAGAGTGGATTAAATTTAAATAAATCAGCATTACTTTCAAAGGAATCCTCCTCTTCATCATCTCCTTCTTCAAAAGAATCTTCATCATTGAAAAAAGGTGAATCATTAAAAGTTAAAACTTTATTACATTCAAGCGATTTTATTCAACATTCTTCAGTTATTCAATTGATCGATTGGAAAAATCATAAAAACATATTATCAAATTTATTGGATCGTTTCAAATTTGTAGATACCATTCAAATCATGAGAAATTTAAATAAGATTTTAGATAGTTTACTTTCAATTTTCGATATGTATTCAAATGAAGGCAGAATTAGTGGTAAACCCGATCCAAATACATTGAGTGTTTACAATACAATTGTATTTGTAATGGGTTTACTTACCGATGAAAGAACAAATCGTTTCAAACACTTTAAGAGTGAAATGGATCGTTATATCATTGAACAATTTTCATTTGCAACAACACATAAACATCTATTGAGATGTATCTCCTACTCTATAGAGGATATTTCAACCAAAGAAACTGCAAAGATCTCAAACACTTTGAAAGCATTGGACTATATGTTTCAATTAATTACAAAATCGAGATTGGTTTATATTAGAGAACAACAAGCCAAACAACTTGTAGATGAAGAGACACAATGGAAACAAGACTTGAGAGATTTTTTGGCATTACTCAATAATTTAATGTCGAATAGTAATGAAAAACTATTGATTGTACCACAAACATTTGCATTGCGTAATTTCGATGTAATTATGAAAGGTTTAAGTAACTTTTTCAATACCACAGAACTTTGTGTAATTTTATCCGACTTCATGGAATCAGTTTACTATAGTGATAAGAATTTCTATCAATCGAAATTAACAATCTATCATAAGATTCTATCTACTCAACTTCCAATTGGACCAAGTACTTATCAGCATCTATTACCAGCATTGGTTTCAACCATTGATCAACATTTAAACAAAGGTGAAGAATTAAGATTATCAAATCAACTATTGGCATTACTTTTGGAAACCATAGAGTTATTGGATACCACAGATAGAAATAAAGCAGTCAGTATCATTGCAATTGTTTTCACTAAAATGTTTACATTGGTAGACTCATTGTTAACAACGATTTCCAACGATACTACATTCACCTCAATGACCATTGAACATACTTATCTCCTCTCAAATTTCTATACAATTATTCATTACTTTATTAAATGTGGTACTCCTATCACAAGTAACGGCCAACCATCTAAATATTCAAACCATTTCGAGAAATATATTCAAGAGAATTTAACTGAAGAGAAAACCATTAAACCTTTCATTAAAAAACTCCTACGTATTATGGAAGGTTTCATTGGTCGTTCTATTTATTCCTCAAAATGGCCAACTCTTAATCTTTTCCAATATAATGTTACCCTATCGGTATTAGAAACACTCGAACCATATTGTTGTAAATATTTCACCACCCAATCAGATTTAGATGGTTGGACTTTATTATTCAATGTTAAATTTGCCTTCCTCACTTCTTCATCTCTAAGATTAAATGAAAATAGAATTCATCGTCTTGGTCATATTAAACAGCAATTGGACGAAATTAGATCATATATATTGATTTCAATCATTAAATCTTGGAATCATTTATTAACAATTCAATTACAAAATCAATTTAATCAATCATTATTAGTAAATTTATTATATGCTTTATTAGTAAGTTTTTTTTTTTTTTAAACTTTTAAAATTATTAAAATTTTGTTAACACAATTATTAATTTTATTTTTTTATTTAGAATGGTAATAATGATGTTAATGAATTTATTCAAAATTTATTCTATATTATAATGAAAAATGAATTTTTAGAATATAAATCATTAAAAAGAATTGAAAGTAAAACTATTGAAGTATTAGATAAAATTACGATTAGAGAAAGAATTTGTGATGAAGATATATTTAAAAACTTTTTAATTAAACGTTTAACTGATAGTGTAGTTGAAAGTTCTGGTAGTGGTGATTTAATATTAACTAAAGAATCTAAATCATTTATATCAAATATTAATCAATTGTTATCATTGTTATTTGAGTTTAGAACGTTACCAACAGATCGTGCCTTTGAAGAGGAGAGAACCATTGCAACCTTGAAAATGATGGAATACTTTAAGGATAGAAAAGATACCTATATCAAATATCTCTATGAACTTTTAAATCAACATTTAGCCAATGGATATTATACTGAAGCTGGTTTTGCAATTCTTTTACATTCAGATCTATATGAATGGAATTCCGAACAAATTTTACCACCATATACATTAGCATTGAATCAACAACCAACTACAATGCCACAAGAGTCATCAAGTGATCGTAAAGTACGTCTTTTGAAAATGGCAATTCAATATTTAGATAAAGGTCAAGTTTGGGAGAGATGTGTCACTCTTTTACAAGATTTGAAATTACATTATGAACAAACCTATAATTTCAAAGGTTTATCGGAGGTATCATTCCAAGAGGCTGAATTCTATGAGAAGATACTAAACACCGAACGTTTATTTGCCGAATATTTCCGTGTAGGTTATTATGGTAAAAAGTTCCCATTATCAATTCAAGGTAAAGAATTCCTTTACAAAGGTTTTGAGTTGGAGAGATTATCAGATTTCACCGCTAGAATTTTAGCCAAATTCCCAGATGCAGAATTATTAAAATCAACCAGTGAACCAACAACTGAAATTCAAAATTCAGATGGTAAATATTTATTGATTACAATTGTAAATCCATCGAATTTGGATGAGGTTGAAAAGAAACAAAAACCAATTATACCTGGTACACCAAATAATTCCAAATCCTATCTAAAGAGAAATGATGTAAACGTTTTCGTTTACTCTAAACCATTCGAAAAGGCATCGGGTGCTGTCGTTTCAAATAGTAACAATAAATTTGGTGACCTTTGGATTAAGAATCATTTCCTTTTAACTGATTCTTCATTCCCAACAATTCATCGTCGTGCTGAAGTCATAAAGAAACTTCATGTTGACCTTTCTCCAATTGAGAATGCTATCAACTCTGTCTCTTCAAAGAATGAAGAATTGGATGAAATGGTCAAGAAATATGAAAAATCACCACAATTAAACTTGAATCCTTTAGCAATGGCTTTGAATGGCTCAATCGATGCTGCCGTAAATGGAGGTATCTCACTTTATAAAGAGGCTTTCTATCAAGTACCTGAACCATATCGTCCAAAAAAACCTTTCCTAGTTAAACTTTCCTCAGAATTAACTAGTCAAGCAAATATATTAGGGAGTGGTTTAATCATTCACTCTAAACGTTGTCCTGATGAATTACGTGGTCTTCATGAAAAATTGGAATCTTTCTTCCCAAAACTTAAAAGTGAAATTCAATCAATTCATAATTTAATTGAATAAAAAAAAAAACTAAAACACTAATTAACCTTTATAATTAAAAAATTAAAAAAAAAAAAAAAAAAGAAAAAAGTAACAATAAATTGTAATAATAAAATTTTTTAAAATATTATTAAATCTTTAATTTTTTTCTTTCAGCCTCCAAAACTTTTTTAACTCTTTCGATTGATTTACTATTTTCTGGACCTGTACAATTTTCAATATTATATGGACTTGAAATTTTAACCTCATTTAAAACGATAATATTTTCTCCTGACCAATCGCATGGTAAACTAAAAAAAATGAAAAAAAAAAAAAATTAGTATAAAATTTATTATTGGATATGATTATTGATTATTGATTATTGATTATATTGATTATTGATTATTGATTATTGATAATTAATAATAAAAATCCATACGTTTTTGAAATTGAATTAAAAATTTCTTGAGCTTCAGGGGTAACACCAACACCAATTTTCATTGCTTTTTGAGTTGCCTTTCTAATGACTTCATCTTGTTTTTTAATAATTAATTGTACATTTAAAGATGGTAGTGATAAATCGTTGCTTATATTATTTTGGTGGTGGTTGTTGTGATTATTTTGTTTGTTTGTGGTTGGTGATGTAATGGTTGGTGTTGTAGTGATGCTAGTTGGTAATGATAAACTTTTAATTTCTTTAATCGATGATTCTAATATAATTCTAACTGTTCTCTTTTGTGTTACAACTGCTGCTGTTGATTCATCACTCACTTTTTTTATTAATTTATCATAGAGTATTATATATAAATGTGTGTGTGTGTGTGTTAATATTTTTTTATTTTCTTATAAGTTTTTCTATTTTTTTTGAAATTAAAAAAAAAAAAAATAAAAAAAATAAATAAAAATAAAAATAAAAAACTTACAAATTATAATACAAGCAGTAATTGGATCATAATTAAAAACCTCACCTTCGAATTGTTCATCAGATGTCGTCTTAATTCTAACTTTGAGTCCAACAATCCATGAAAACTTATCCTCGTTCGTCTTATAGAACTTATCTTCCATCGTTTATTTGATTTATAATTTAAATAAAATGAATGATGAAATTATAATAAAATTATGTGTACACAACTATTTCGGGATTTGTTAGATAGATAAGCTCCTCTATAGGATGATATAATGTGCTTTAAAATTAGATAATTGTAATTCTTTTTAAAATCTACAAAAAAAAATCCCAGTCAATATTGTAATTATTAATTATAACTTCAACAAAAAAATTTTGTCTAATGCAATATGATGAACTTTAAAAAAAAAAAAAAAAAAAAAAAAAAAAAATTAAAAAAAAAAAAATTTTTTTATTTTTTATTTTTTTATTTTTTTTTTTTTTAAAAAAAATTAATTTTTAATAAAAAAAAAAAAAAAAAAAAAAAAAAAATAAATAAATAATAATAATAAAAATAATAATAAAAATAATAATAATGATATTAATAACTTTAAAAAAAACCTTATTATTTCATATTGATTATAGATTAAAATTAAAAAAAAAAAAAAAAAAAAAAAAAAAAAAAAAATTAAAAAAAATTAAAAAAATAAAATAAAAAGTATTAAAACCATGTCAAACTCTTGTGAATATCTTTTTTTTAATTTTTTTTTTTTTTTATTTTTTTTTTTATTTTTTATTTTTTAATTTTAAAATTTTTTTTTTTTTAATTTTTCTTTCATCCACACACCATTCGCTTATAAAAACTTTTTTTTTATATATCTATATTTTTTTGTTTTTTTTTTTTTTTTTTAAAAAAGAAAAAAAAAAAGATTAATTAATTTATTTATATTATTTTTTTTATATATTTCAATAATTTTTAACAGTTGTAGAAATTGGATTTCTAGTCAATTTAAAAATAAAAATAAAATAAAAAAATAATAAAAAAGAAAAGAAAAAGAAAACTTTGGACATCTTAATAGAACATTTAAAGAGGTAGATTTTAAATTTATAGATTTTCATTTGTTTTTTTAGATTTTTTTTTTTTTTTTTCCTCCTTCTTTGGTTATAAAATTAATTTCTAAAAAAAAAAAAAAAAAAAAAAAAAAAAAAAAGTGTTTCATTTTTTAATATAAATTAGTGGAGTAATGGAAAATCAAGATTCATCTTTATTTTTTGGGGAACCTGACCCACAAATAGATTTCTTTGATTCGTTAAATTCTGGTGATCAACAAGAACAACCACAAGAACAACCACAAGAACAACCACAAGAACAATCACAAGAACAACCACAAGAACAACAAGAACAACAAGAAAAACAAGAAAAACAAGAACAAAAAGAACAGGAACAACAAGAACAACAAGAAAAACAAGAGCAACAAGAACAAAAAGAGCAACAAGAACAAGAACAAAAAGAGCAACAAGAACAAGAACAAAAAGAGCAACAAGAACAACAACCAATACAAGAAGAATCACCACAACCAATATCGCCAGTCAAGGATGGAGAAATTTTTTTTGATTCATTGGGACAAAAAGAAGATTCAATCACTGCCATCGCGACACCCAATGTTGAATCACCACCACAAGAACAACAAGATGATCAAAGTTTTTTTGATTCACTCCACTCAAACGAGAGTAACAGTAGTGGTACATTGAATGAACAACCAAAAACTGAACCAACACAACCATTTACAAATCTAATTCAACCAAACGAGGTCATTGAATTACAAAGTGATGTAATTGAACAACAAAATCAAGTGATTGAACACCAAAATAGTATCATTGAGCAACATCAAAGACACCAACATCAATATAGTAGTGACAATAGTAGTAACATTGGTGGTATCGTTGATGGTTTAGTTGACAATCCAATTTTAGTTAGCGATAATGTCGTCAATAGTTTATCCGATAGTATAGTTGGTAAAGATGACGAAACAACGACCAATAATAATAGCAATAATAATAATCAAGAAAATGGAGACTTATCAATTACTTCCAACGAGAATAAACCTGCACAACCTGAACCAACAGAAACTATAACACCATTGGAAAATAATAATAATTATATTAGTAATAATAATAATAATGGTGGCGAGAATGAAAAGGAGATCTCTTCATTCTTTAGTTCAGAGGATAATAATAACAATAGCGAAATATTATTTTTTAATTCAACCAATAGTGATACTAATAGTAGCGCAAATAGCATTGAAACAGTTTCAGTTACTTCTGCAATAGCTGCAGAGGAAAAGGATGCTTCTTCTTTCTTTAATACTAACAGTGCACCACAAGAATTACAATCACCACCACAACAACAGCAACAACAACCAATTGTTAATAAACCACCAGTTGTAGAAAAAGATATTTCATCATTCTTTGCAACACCAGAGATGGGGTCACAAAATGATCAAGGTGGTAATATTTTCCAAAGTTTTAATATTTCAAGTAACACCCCAAAGATGGCATCGCAAGTACGAGAGACACAACCACAACCACAATCACTTCAAACACCAACTAAAATGCCACAACAACCTCAATCTCAACAAGAAAAAGATGTATCATCATTTTTTGGAGGTGGTTCTAGCAGTTATAAACAAGCACAACAACCAGAGAGAGATGTATCATCATTTTTTGGAGGTGGTTCAACAACTAATGAAGTTTCATCATTATTTGGTTCAATGAACATCGATGATAGTTCAAATTTTTTCGATCAATTAAATATACAACAAGAGTTGGAACAACAGGAAAAGAAAAGAAATGAAGAGCTCTTAAGACAACAACAAGAGGAGCAGGCTAGACAACAATTGTTACTACAACAGGAATATGAAAGACAACAACAATTATTAAAACAAC